TCAATCTTCACATTAAATTGTTACGTCGTTCGTTATATTATCAAATTTACGTAGAGCTTTATACCAAAGCAGTATATTATAAATAAATGAAATACGAAGTAGCAACTTGGTTTAATTCGTTTAATATTAATTTACTTTATTTAATAATTTGGTCCGGCCCAACGATAATTTGGCCCCCGAACTAGGAAAGGTTGCCAATGCCTGGCTTAACCGTTTGAGTACCAGAGGTTTTTAAAAGCCGAACAGCGCAATAGCGCTTTCTGAATGGGACGCGAAAAGATCGAAGCGGCGCGATAGCGCTTCTTTTATAACAGGTGACAACGAAGTACAAAATGTATTACTTGGATTACTTGTATACGAAAGAAGTAGCGAAGCGACGTACATGCGTCTGAAAAGTTGAGCGCGTTTCGTCAGATTGTAAGTGCGCCGTCAGTTGTCCTGGGTTTTTTCGACATGAAATCTGAAGAGCGCGAAAGCGGCGCGTGGGACTCAAACGGTTAAGGTATGTATAATTATACAGTGGCTATCAGAACTATAGGACTGCCAGGATACTCGAGCAAAGAAGGAAGAGGTCAGGAGTTAATAGCCCAAGCGAGATGCGGGAATTTAGAAAACTGTACTGGGAATTAGAGGAAGGAAGGAGATGCGATTTGTGTGGTGATAGATTCGGAAATCTGGAACGTTTGACAAGGGACGAAAGGGATATCAGGATGGAAGACGTAGTGAGTGGGAGAGAGGGCAGAAAGATTGTAGAGTGGCTCGAGAAGCTGAAAAAGAAAAGAAAAAAGAGAGTGGCTGATAACACCAAAGAGAATATTTAAGTATAAGGGAGGGGCAACAATTAATAGGGAATGTGAATGGAAGAGAAAGAGAGAATGAATCGAATGAGTGAATAAGATAGTTTTATAAAACCTATGTTATTGCAAACCAAGTCCAATTCATGCTTACATAAAAGAGATTTAACATTCTTTCATATTCCTGAATTTTACAGAACTTTGCTTTATCCCTCACTATCTAGAAACCGCTTTTTTCGACTTACACCACTTTCTTATTAAACGGCTCATATGCACTACGCATGAAACGCAAACGCGTAGATCCTTAAGCATCAAGGATCCAAGGTAGTACGCAGAGCTAACGTCGCACAGTGGAAATGTTAATTTATCCGTGAGCCGGATACTAGCGGTATCGGCAGTTATAAACGTGCAGTAATTCACAATGAAAGTTTCTGCGGATAATAATGGAGCCGGAGCCGGCGTCGATCCGAGCTGGTATGCCGGGTGTGGTCACTTGCTCGAATATTTAGCTGTGAGCGGCCGGGACAGAGCAAAGGAAAGTCTCGATAAAAGATAAACCTATCTACGTACGTACGCGACAATGAAAAATGCCTACCAGCCACCGACACGAACTCTGTGCTCAGTCGCGTGACGGAATCTGGAGTGAAAAGGAACTTCTAGCCGTTCTGTTTTCGCGAGACTTATTCTTAAAGCTTCTAGAGTCCCGGATAGCGACGTGGATTCGCGTCGTTCAGTTCCTTACACAGGCCCTGATACTTGTTGCACGACTCTAAATGACAATACCGTTGCACTTGGTACGATGCGTTTAGCGATATTAGATCAGCCCCGTAAGTTCGTGTCGAATTTTGTAATTTAGAGCAATATTTTCAACAAATCTTTAAACTTTATGTAAAAAGGAAAAGGAAGCGCCTTCTCGTTTCACAACTTTCTTCTGTTTTTTGTTTTCGGCACACGAACTTATGGGATGGCATAATAGTTTCATTAAGGAAGCTCGACGAGAGTTTGAGAAAAGCGTGAATGGATTACTCTACAATTCACATTAGCCAGGAAATGATTTATGACTTTAGCAGCAGACTTTTCAAAAGTGAACTTTTTAATGTAATTAAAACGTGATTGAGAAATTAGTAAAGTTGGAAATATAGAAATGATAACACTTATCATTATTGAATATTCACTGTTTTTGGAAAGTTGCTAATGGGTCAGACGTTCATTTAATTTAGGAACAGTATCGAAAGATTACCTGGAAATTGAGAACAGTTAAGGGTTGATGCGACATTCGTTTTGATACGAATCTGAGTTAAGAGTTTATGAGAACTTTAACTGAACAAGGAGTTCTACCATTTGTTCGACACAGTCTTTGATATTTGTTTACCGAATGGATGAGTCTAGAGTGAATCAGTTATGTACTAGGTTGGTGTAAATGATATGTCGTTCTTTCAACAGCTGAAATTAGCATTAAATTTTGTCTGATCATGAAGTTTTATACACAATAGTCAAGAAGAAGGAAGTTGCTATATTACACGAGTATTAAATATTTAAAAAAATTCATAATTATTACCTGACGTGATGAATAATCGGGACATAAATTTATTAAGATTTTTTTGTATAATATAGATGAAGATGAATACTGCTATTCGAACGAATGAATCGTCAGTTATGTATTATAAATAGCAGATTACCATAAAAAATGTACTATTCATATTTTAGATGCTACATTTTTAAAGATTGTTTACGTTAGTATTATACGTATTAGGTAATCCTATGCTGCAATCTTAATATTCCGTTGAATTACTATTTCCAATATCTTTTCCTTTGCATCCGAGTGACACGAGAAATACGATATTCATTATTGATAAATATCGATCGAAAGCGGTAAAATGAATTTTCTATAATATTATAACGCGTTCATTCATGGTTTATTCGAATCCAGCACGGTTCCGAGTTGAGCTGCCAGCTAAGCAATACGAGTCAGCAGTGATAAAGGAAGTGGACAAGTAATGAAAATAGCCAGATAACTATGGTTCAGGAAGATAAGAGAAACAGCTTGCTTTTGTTTTTCAGTCCAATCAATTTACAATTAAGTTCGCGTTATTAATAGTGTTTATTGTCGTACACAAGATATTACCCGAGGATTTTATAAAAACAACATCTACCGGTGTTCTTTACTCACACCTTAAGCAGTGACGTGACATAAGTGACACAAGAATAAATTATTCATATTTTATACAAATTACAATTATGCGAAAAATAGTCAGGTTCTCCGAATATTTTCCACAATTATCGTTAAAGATTTTGTGACAAGGGCTGGTCTTATTGTATATTAATTAAAAAGTTGTGCACTAACATCAGGATTTGAAAATGCAATTTGTGCTATAGTCGAATATAAAAAAGAAAGATAAAGATATAGACGTTAATGAACTTTATGGAAAAAATGTGATTCTTTTTTCATACCTTCACCATTTCTATAAAACTGGATATTTTAAAAAAATCTTTTATATTTCTTTAGTAATTGGCTTGTAGATGGTGAAAAGTTTCGATACTTTGTTCTAAGTCAAACCGCGTGGCAGCAGAGAACAACACTATGGGGGAGCTCGTTCGAAATAGAGGTTAGGTGGCGTCGCCATTTTGCACAAAAATTAAACGAAAAGAATACTTTTACATTCTCGATGGGCAATGCAATAAAGCCGTTGTGACAAGTTTTCGATAGAGTGAATAATTTCCAAAAAAAAAAAAAATGCCAAAGTTAGGTGTCATCTTCAGTCCTCACTGATGGTCTAACCCCTTAAAGCATAGGTGTCCAACCTTTCGATTTGCCTGGGGCACTACGAAATATGTAATACAGTTAATCGTACATAAGTAACGAAACCTCCTTTATCTTTTAATATTTTTTATTATAATGCAATTGAGTCGTGAAAAATATCGCTAAAAATCACACAATAATGTTCAAAGTTTACGATATTGTGCTGTTCAGGGCCACATTGCGGCCCGCGGGCCGCAGGTTGGACACGCCTGCCTTAAAGAGAAAAAAAAACCGAAAATAGAGCGCTTAAAATGGTGTCTAATAGAGAACACGTTAAACAAGCGACATTTCTCAAAGTTTCACGGTTCCTCGTTTCCCGAGAGCCATTAGCACGGAGTGAAGGTGCGATGATAAGAAGTTTGCCGATAATCGACGATCAGAAGCGCGATCGAGCTAAACGGCACGGGCAAACGTATTATCAACAACGACGCGTAATTGCAGATCTACATGCTTCAGGGCCCTTCTCTTTCACCCGTCACGAGACCACGATCTCGGTGAAAAATGTGTAGCACGCCGGAGAAAGGTTAGCCATACGGGCTATTAGATAGAGTCAGTCTCGTACGAAAGGATTGCAAAACGCACGGACGGCCTTTTACAAGCGGCGTAAAAACTTTTCTCCCGCATTGCTTCCAATTAGCAGATTAATGACTTTGGCTTTAACGCGATCACACTTGCTAAGAACGCGTGTATGGGAACACGCGGTGGAAATCGAAAGTGAATCGCGTTTAAATGTAAAACGACGGAAATCCTAAATTGAAATTCTATCACGAACACCGTTGATCCTTTCACGTTTTTCATACACGACACCGTGCCAAGAGAGAGACGATTTACAACGATACATCGTTAATAGATAAGGGGGAAGGAGAGGAAATAGAAAGAAAAAGGAGGTGAAATGAAACTGTCAGCCCCGGGTTTCTCGTTCACCCGGCATTCGAATCGAGAGCTATTCGAATTACGCAAGTGATTCTGAAATACCAGGAAGTCTTACCAGAATGGTATGCACAATCGTATCTACTATCTGGTTTTCCGAATACGGAATCGGTAATGGCGTATAATCTCATCGTCGGAATCGGTCGCTTTCAGACTTTTAGCCAAGATACCCGTTCTCCCCCTAGCCTTTTGCAATCGTCGTAATAACACTATCAACCTCAACTCCGATGCTCATTATGTCATTACTACGATTATTTTTTTCTTATTGGTGACATTTGAAATGTCGTTAACCATTAAGGAAGAGAGATCACTTTCTCTCTCTCTCTCTCTTTCTCCCTTGGGATATTTCGTGATCGGCGATAATATTTTCAAAACCTGTCTCGTTTTTAATCTGTGGCTACTTGTAAAGCTGTAAACTTTCTACGATAAAGATCGACCGCATGCCGTGTACCACGGGAATTTTTCATTGAACTCACTTGAAGTATGAGCGTCTTGAGCTCCTGATCGCTGAGGAACGCTGGCTTATAATGACCTTCCGTGTATGAGGTAACAGCCCCGAGGATAGTCTTCAAGTGTTGCACAGCCATCCTTAGCACGGTCAGCTTGTCGAGTTTACGGGACATCGCGTGGCACATTGGCACCATCGCTGAAAGCTCGGTGATGTAGGTGTTCATCTTGTCCCTCCTTCTTTTCTCGATTTCGCTGTGATTTTGCCTGGAGAAGAATCCACCCGGAAAAAGAAATATTAACGGTACAAGTGTAACGAATGTGTTATATATAATAGTTTTTATTTTGGCGCCACAGCCAAGAAATCTGAACTTGTTCAACTCATTCCCTTCGTTCCTTTTTGTGTTATTCCCCTAATTTAATGTAACTTACTTCTATTATTTCTAGCATACCTACCGATCTACTGTTTTCTATCTATTTTTTACTTTTTCAAAGCTTGAAACACTTAAAAAGTTAGACTTCAACCCAAACTACCCAGTTCGCCTATCGACTATGAAAAAGTATGTTTGCCTACAAAGGGTTAACAAGCGATGACACGACATTTTAAAATTGCGACGCTGTTACGCCTTTCTGACACGAAAATCATCGCACGTTGTGTAATTTATTCGATCAGATAAAATCCCGGAAATCGTTGATCTCTCGTTAAAAAAAGAAAATACCGCGAACGGTCACCAATGGTGTCCGCTCTCTCGTTCCTTCTCCCATCAACATCTGTCATCTTCTCTTGAGAGACACGACCCGTCGTCTCGTGGTGAATCAATTATAAAAGGCGATTCAACTAATAAACGACGCTTTTGTGAGCGAACGCCGGTGATTTGCCTGCCAAGAATTCGCATTCATGCCCCGTAGCGATCAATTGCCGAGCGGAAGCCGCCGCTACGAGAAACCAGTTTCGGTTTACAACCGGGCCGCGCGTCGGTTTATTAATTTGAGAAACACCGCGGTCATCCTAATGTCTCGCGATTAGGCATCGCGCACCGTTTTCATGGAATTTTAATCGGCGTCTATGTCTCGATTGTACTTGCGTTTCTTGTTTACGCTGTTGCGTCAGAGCGGCGATTTATGCGCGCACTGCGGCCACAAATTGCCGGGAAAAAGGTTAAGTAGGTAAAGAAGTGGTTGATTTCTCGTTCGTTGCTGAAGATTCAGAAAAGTCGGAGCGTTACTTTGTTGCAAAACAAAGATTCCAAGAATACTCGTCCTTTTGCAGATTGAAGACTTGTTTGCTTTCTCAATTTTTTTGAATTTTGAAAAAGGGATTTGGCACTTTTGTTAGCTATACATTGCTAGTAGTGAAATAGTAACGTAAGTCCTTTTGCAACCTGAAGATTTATTTGCAAAGCATTTCTTTTTTAATTTGCTTTATTAATTTCTTCTGAATTTTGAAAACGGGATTTAGTGGTTTGACTGTATTTCAATTGTTAGCTTTTAGTGCTACAGTGTACATAAGTCCTTTTGCGAATCAAAAACTTATTTGTCCCTTCTTTTTTATTATTTAGTCATCTTTTTGAATTTGTCCATGAGATAAATGTTGATCAAAAGGGATTTACTGGTTCGACTGTATTACTTCAATTGGTAAGTTTTGTTAGCTATACATTGTTAGTAGTAAAGTAGTGCTAGATTTTTTTAAACATTTTATTATAGAATTTGAAATGTTTATTGGTACATATTTGCATGGTATTGCTTGCACAAATGGAGGATATACTAAGCCTAGCACCTGAAACACCTTCAAAACTGTTGCAGTTTTGCTACATTTTCAATCTCTGAAAGATATTCATTTCAGTCATATTTCTTTAAAGAATGTCATTGAACTTTTATATTTTCTTTCATTCCTTTTTGATTAAAGAGGTAAAGGTTAAAACTCAAGATTTACAAGAACTAATGCTGTATATGAATGAAAACGAAAGCTTCACATGCTGAAACTATCTTAATCCAAGTGATCAATGTTTACTTTCATTGCTACTGTAATTTTATAAAAAAATTAGCTTCACAACCAGAAGGATAACTTCACCAAATCGAAGACCACGCAGTATCGAATATACAGTCTCGATAGAAAGTTTATCGAGAATTCACTAACACTGAAATTTGGATCTGTTGAATTTTTCAAAATTCAAGCCTAATATACGGCAACATAACGCTGAATTTCTGTTACAAGCAGTGCGAACTAATCACTTCTAATTCAGACTTAGAAGTGGTTGCATAGGTCAGACTTGTGCGCTACGAAAGAAACAAGCTAAACGACCTCGTATTTTTGATTTGTAATTTAGCCATTAATCTTTTACCTCGTTGTAACATCGTTTACTGTCAATAAGCTTGCCACGGAGCAAACTAGCCACTAAAATGTCCCCAAGGCAAAAAATAAACGCGCCGTCATTTTTAGTCGTTTTTATAATCTACGTTGGCGTAGATTGGATTAGTGACGTCGCCGATGAAGCCAGAGCAAAGAATCGAGGTGGGTCAAGGTGGCACTTACCTTGGCAATACCTGACATAATACTACATAACTGGCAGCAAAGATTAAGCTTTAAGCCATAATGCGGTTTCTTACTACCTTCAAACCGTCTCAAGTACGCCTCGTGCAATTTTGTCAGATTTTTAGAGCAAATATTACACTTCCGTTAAACATGACACACGCGTCGCGTCGATTGGGAATGATAACTCTATACAGGGTGGGTAAAACAGGCCACCCAATTATCCAGGATTCTCTGACGTACTGTTAGGATAAACACGAAGTTCCACCACCCCTCATACTATGCGAGGAAGGCCATCTTCACGCCGCGCGTCAGTTTTTCAAAAGTTGTCACTTCAGTTTATTGATTTTGGTTACTGGAATACTGAAATTTTTGAAGTCCCTGTTAAGCTGCGGCATAACAGTACGACTCTGGTTAGCTGCGAGTAGAAAATTTTGGTAAAAACCTTGGATGCTATTGAATCCTTTATTCAGTTCATTATAACAGCTGAGGTGTTAAGTATCTATGCACGAGAAAGTAAGAATATGAAATTATGGTTTCCTGAACTGCAAATGATTGGGTGAATTTGTGAAATAATGAATTGGTAATAAAATTGTGCAAAAAGTATCCGCTTTTGTGTATTTTTGTAACTGTATATACAAGGTGGTACGAGAAATTTTGTAATTTAAATAGTTTTGAAAATTTTTATACAAACTACCATTTTTTTCTGTTTCTTCAAAGTCATTTATGTTCTTTTACATAAATTTCTTTTACTACGTAACAGACATGGGTGTGCATTGAAACGTGCATACGACCTTAAAACGACGTTGGACTCTGAAATTTTAAATCAAATGTGAAATTTTCTTTCATTTTTTCCATTTAAATTGCGCACAATTTTCTCGTTCCACCATAGCTAGAAGAGGTAATTACATGGCCTGTTTTACGTGGCTCACCCTGTATAGCGCCAACTAGACGACATTCTTCCAATCTAAGTATCTAATCGCAGCGTTCGTTCATAAGCATTATTATTGATATGTTTCACTTACTTTTTGCTGTCGTCGTTTGTGCGAACAGATTTGGCATCGTCTCCCGCGTCGTCCAATAAATCGCTACCGTCACTGAAACAGAAAACGGAACATTGATCGTGAAAAGAGTATCTCGAATTTTTATTAAAAAAAAAAAACAATTGCACTACAATATTACTAACGTAAACAGCGGAAAGGAAGTAAATTGTGCGAGATTAAACGAAGTTTTCTGTAAATTGAATTCATTGTTATTACACTTCCCTAATCCGTGATTTCTTCCTTACTTTTTGGTAGAGGTAGTATTTTTTTAAGCGACGAGAGCAGGAAATTGATTTGTTTCATTTCTACAAAAGTAAACATCAACGTTTGCCTCGTTTACTGGAAATAAAGTAAATTGTGTGAAGTTAAACGACACTTTTTCTTCTTTTTTTTTTTTTAAGGGAAATATAACGCTGTGAATTGAAATTTACTAATCTGTAATTTTTTCCCTCACTTTTTGGTAAAATTAGTATCCTTTTGTATGACGAGGAAATTGATTTATTTAATTTGTACAAAAGTAAACATGAACGTTTGGCTCGATTACCTCGAATGTGAAATAATATGACCAAATAATTGAGGAAGACCTACTCCAACCCTGAAACGTCGAAACATGGAGAAACCAAGTACTGAAACAATTTCTTCGGCGCGCGCCCCTCGAACGGGGCGTTACCCCTTTGACGCAGAATTTCGCTAAGTTTGGCTCGTGTACAGCTTCGTTACACTTTTGTCATGCAAACGACAAATGGGTACGTGGAATTTTCATATTTTTATCAGAAAATGCCTTGATTTTATTCTTGCTTGCTTCCTTTTAATCAAATTAAACTTATTTACTACTTTTAATTACAACTTCTCTATATCTTAACTTACATGAAACGAAAATTCAAATTCAAATATCTCAATCTGTATTACAAATTCTACAGATTCTGCGTGAATTGACTACAGCACAAGTTGAAAATAGAAAAATGAAATGTTTACACTGTAAAGAAATTTTTAAATTTGGCAATTTTTGAAACTTTCAAAAGAAGCGTTTGAAAATCTTCAAATTTGTCAACAAGCGACTGGTCGAGTGAAGCCTCTTCTATTTTCCAATATCTCTCGATCAAGTGAAACTTATTTACTACTCTTAATTACAAACTCTATGCACATGCATACTTAAGCACAAAACTTTCCCAAATGCCATGTGAATTGATTACAACGTGAGTGAAAAATATATGAAATATTATAGTATATGATACGAATAATAAAACAGAAATATGAAGTGAAATATTCACACTGTGGCATAAAGAAATTAGTAATCTCGAACACGAACCGTTCGAAAATCTGAAAGTAAATGAGCAAAGGATTGGTCAAGTGAGAAGCTTCTTCGAATTTCTAATATCTCTAATTTCGTCGGTTTCACGGTTCACGAACTTACTTTAAGATGCCAAATTGGATAGATTCCGGTCAGAGGTAACATAAACCGTGGTAGTGACTAAAGCAATTTCGACCAGCCACGTCCTCAGAGACGCAAATCTTCGGTTCTGTTAATGATTAAGTTAACCCTTTGAGCAGGTAACCGACACGTTGATTGGTAATTACTTGGAGTTGCCGCCCGTTTAACAAGAAACATCATGAAACACGGGTGTCGATGGGTGGGAAGAGGGTGAGTCGGGCCAGAAAGATGTTTGCAGATGGAAATGTCACTCCTGAATACATTTCGAAGGCTTCGTTTTGACGTATTCTGCACGGGTAGCACGTTAATGTGTGTAATAGTCCCAATACGCTGTACGACTTCCACCTACGCCTGTATTCAAACTGGCTTTGTGCGGAACAAAGTGGTTCTCGCACGTTTAATATTTTTTTCCAGGCATGTTACGATTATGTTAATTCGATAGGATCGTTGCACTTCTACTTTCCTTATTTAGACTTACTATTTTGGGGAGAATAGCTTATTCTTCTTTGGAATTTTTTGTAGAATCGAGAAATTTTGTTTGTTTGCCATGAAAATTGCAACAGCTTAGAAATAAAATCGCACAAATCTGAAATTTACATTAATTGTTTGGGGTGTTGAAAGGGAAAAGTGATTAAAATTTGGTTAACACAGGTTCCTTTTTTATTATAAAAGGTAATTATGTGTAAATGTCCCTTTCTTGTATTTAATTAGGAACGTACTTTATGCAAATTGATTAGAGAAACTTTGTTGCGTATAAGTTACAGTTGTTTCTAACTTTTTTTGCAAGAAAAATATTATAATAAGGTTTACTAAGTATATAAACCGTATAATGAAGTTCAGTATTTAAATACACACATTTCGTCGATTGTTTCCTAACGTTCGGAGAAAACGTATTTTGCGTTAATTCGTTAATGTTCCCGTTATAATGTCCAGTGAAACGTAAGTATAAATTGTATTTTGAGCTTGCATCGTTGTGTATGATTTATACAGTAGATCTATATAATATTTACCAATATTTCCCTAATCTCTGAATTTTTATATTGGGACTCTTACTGTTGCTTGGATTTACCGAATATCCGAATTTTAAGTGCTCCAGTACTCGGATAGCTACTCAATTTAGTCTCGAATATTTGGATTTACGAATATCCGAATTTTAAGTATTCTAGTACTCGAATAGTTACTCAGTTTAGACTCGAATATTTGGATTTACGGAAATCCGAATCTTGAATATTAGGGTACTCGAATGGTTACTCAATTTAGTCTCGAATATTTGGATTTACGAATATCCGAATTGTAAGTATTCTAGTACTCGGATAGCTACTCAATTTAGACCCGAGTATTCGGATTTACGGAAATCCGAATCTTGAGTATCAGGGTACTCGAATAGTTACTCAATTTAGACCCGAATATTTGGATTTATGAATATCCGAATTTTAAGTATTCCAGTACTCGAATAGCTACTCAATTTAGACCCGAGTATTCGGATTTACGGAAATCCGAATCTTGAGTATCAGGGTACTCGAATAGTTACTCAATTTAGACCCGAATATTTGGATTTACGAATATCCGAATTTTAAGTATTCCAGTACTCGAATAGCTACTCAATTTAGACCCGAGTATTCGGATTTACGGAAATCCGAATCTTGAGTATCAGGGTACTCGAATAGTTACTCAATTTAGACCCGAATATTTGGATTTACGAATATCCGAATTGTAAGTATTCTAGTACTCGGATAGCTACTCAATTTAGACTCGAATATTTGGATTTACGGAAATCCGAATCTTGAGTATCAGGGTACTCGAATAGTTACTCAATTTAGACCCGAATATTTGGATTTATGAATATCCGAATTTTAAGTATTCTAGTACTCGAATAGATACTCAGTTTAGACTCGAATATTTGGATTTACGGAAATCCGAATCTTGAATATTAGGGTACTCGAATGGTTACTCAATTTAGTCTCGAATATTTGGACTTACGAATATCCAAATTTTAAGTATTCCAGTACTCGGATAGCTACTCAATTTAGACCCGAGTATTCGGATTTACGGAAATCCGAATCTTGAGTATCAGGGTACTCGAATAGCTACTCAATTTAGACCCGAGTATCCAGATTTACGGATGTATGAGTCTTGAGTATTCGAGTACTCGGAGAGCTACTCAATTTAGACCCGAGTATCCGAGTATCTGCGTACTCGCGTGATTTAGATTTGGATATCCAAATGCATCCGTATTATATCTTTACGAATATCCGAATTGTAAGTATTCTAGTACTCGGATAGCTACTCAATTTAGACTCGAAAATTTGGATTTACGGAAATCCGAATCTTGAGTATCAGGGTACTCGAATAGTTACTCAATTTAGACATCAATCTATCGGATATTAAATACCAATGTCGAACAGTCTCCTATACGTACTAATTTCCGCATTCTTTAATCTTAATCCTGTATCCAAATTTGCTTTCTTCAATCTAAAACCTGAGTAACTAATAAAGAAAATCTAAATATGAATACTCAAATACTCGAATACAAGTCCGGATACTCTCGGATTTCGACACCAAGTTGGAATAATAAGGAGTATTCCTCTAGAGCTCTATTTCATATGCATTTAAAATCCACCCATCTTTCTCTAAAACAATATCTGTTCACAGTAAACTCTTACAACCATTTGTTTACGTCAATAGATATAAAAATGAACAAACTCGTCCATACCAAATCACAATTTCATCTTTAAGAATTTCAAGGATCGATAACCGTTCTCTCCATACTCTCTCCGTTCTCTTCCGCAGTCTGACCATTGTAAACTCTGAAAAAAATCGTCGATCAACTTACTGGCAGGAGAGCTTTCGCTTCTTCGAAACTGCGACGAACTCCTCGGAAGTGTCGGTGGTGGTTGGTCCATGGCTGGGGGTGGTGGATGCGCTTCGTTGGTGATGATGGTGATGATGATGATGATGATGGTGACGGTGGTAGTGATGGCCGGAGGCGGGTGTCTGGTCGGGGACCATCGTCGGGGGTGT